AACTATACCTAAAGATTCCTCCACTGACCTTCCAAACTACATACACGCATGAAAATAGAAAATGAAAAACTAAACAGACCGCAACAAAATACATTCCAAATTCAACTCATACAAAGTCTCCAGCTTAAACAAAAAATCACATATTCCCACTCATGCGAAAATCACTCATATTTTCCACTCTTCTACAAATCGTCACCATAAAAAAACTACCCTTTTTCCCATTCAATTTTTCCTTTGAAAATTTATGCACTGCTAAAACTACCTCAAGATTTTGACCATTGAGAAAGGTCGAAACTATAGTCGTAGTTTCTTTAAACATAATACACACCCTAAATGAACAAGTGATACCTGATGTTGATATGTCCAACGAATGTTCTATTCAGTTACCAATTCCTCTTGATCAAGGTAGTAATATAACATAGATATGCAGTTTCTTCCCTTCTCTCCTTTTCTAAATTTGATGATAATAAATGATTGAGAATAACCATTGTTTAGATGTTCAAATGATCAATTCAAATCACTTGACACAAGACAATAACTATCAATCGTCTCCTCAATCACTCTCATCATCGTGTATTGTCTCTAAATCAATGGCCACTGATAATTCGACAACAATAATTACAACAGCAACCACTAACAATTCATGTCTATTGTCTGATAATAATACAATGGCCATTGTGAATCATCATGATGAACAATTACATGCTGTTAATTTTGAGCAATCAGGTAAATAGATAGGGATTCATCATCTATACAAGCATTATTAGACGATTAGGAATTCATGTATAAGTGTTATTATCATATTATGATTCATTTAGATGCATTCGAGCTAGCACGACGACAGAAATTCAATTTGACTATTCCGATAGAAAACGAAAAACCGGACAAGAAATTTCGATTAAAGAGAAAAGCTTTTGCCATTGTCTGTCGTACGAATATGACAAGTAGGATACGTTTTCGTCTTAATGAATGAATCTAAAAATGAATGACATATTTCTATCTTAAATAGAGAGAAAAATAATAGAAGCTATCCAAAATGAATTTAATGAAGTTCTACAATATGTCTGTATTTCGTGTGCAAATGATTCGCAAATAAATTGTCTTTCGTCTCCAATTGTCTACATTCAGATCATTCTCAAAAAAGCAATGCATAAGAAAAAGTATTTTCTCACGAAAGTAGCAGGTATGTATGAACTCGAACTGTACAGATATTTTAATAATACATAACTTTCAACTATTTATTCGTTCTAGGAATGCAATGTAATTACAAAGTGACATGCAACGATCGTGCCTGGAATATGTTTCTGAAAAAAGGTTTTTAATGATTCTTCAAATTAACGAATCGAATTTTAAACGAAACCTAATATTCTATTCTAGTGGATAATCCCATTGAAGAGGGAAAATTTCAATCAGTAAGATCACGTGCTGGCATAAAATGGACCAAAACACTTCTACATAAACGCAAAGAAACAAAAATAGAATCTAAAATACAGAGCACACATATTCTAACTACAGAAAATCAACAAATATCGAAACCAGTAGGCGAAGATATTCTAACCAAAGTGAACATAGCCATTGATGATGGTATCGATCGCGTTAACAGAGATATACCATGTCTAGATGAACGGAATAAGTAAGTATTATAGCCAGGATCCGCGAAAATGAGGAAGATGCGTGTAGCGAGATATACACTCCCCCTCCCCAAATAATTGAAAATTATTTATTATTAGCTACTCAAAATGGATAATATTATTTTGCATTTATAAAGTATCTCATAGAAATATGTTCAAAAATATCGTTCAGAGGTGTCCTGAGTGAAAATCGGAGTCAAGGTGTGATTTTTCTATAATAATAATCGGCAACTATCGTTGAGATATCTCCGCCAAAAAAAAATGAAGTTCTATGGCAAGTTGAAGAAATCAGCTGGCTTTTTACTCGAAATTTCGGCTTAAACGATGATTTTTGCTATAAAATTCTGAACTATTAAAACTTTTTGCTTGACGAAGAAGTAGCCACATGGACATACTCGCCTTGAAAATAACTCTGATCTTCCGGTTTTTATGGCAAACTTTACTGCTTCCTACCTTGTGAACAGTTTTATTTGCGAGCAGTCATCGCAAGCGTGACCGCCTTCGGCGACGAAATTGCTAAGACTTAGGGCAACACTTTTTGCTTCCGAGAACAATAAAGAAAAGAAGAGTTTTTCATGGGTCTGACGTGAAAAAAAATTTTCGCCTCGTGAACAATAACAGTTGCGTAACTGCAGTTAACTTAGAAAAACTTCTAAATTCAGTTTATTTTTCCTTTGAAACAACCTAGTCACGAACAATTATCTCCAGAGTGGCCGCCTTCAGTGGCAGCAGTTTTGAGGAATTTTCTTACATCAGGCGCTAGCTGTCTTCTTGAAAATTTGCCAGAGAAAGTCAAATTTTCTAAGAAGGTTGCAAAAAGTTTTCGCTCCACGAAAAATTGTTGCATTTTAAGTTGCACGAGAAAGATGAATATTAGGTCTGATACGAAGAAAATTTTGCTTTCTCCCAATCTAACTACCTCAGGAGTCTTACAGCCGTCGCCCCAAACCTGGTACCCTCGCGCGAGGCCTCATTATAGCCATCAAAAATCCTAAGATAACTTTCTTCTTTTTGTTTTTTTAATGTTATTTTTCTAGAATTTTGGCGATATTAAATTCGCTTAAGTCAGTGGTACAAATTGGTATCACTAAGTAATCGTATCGTTTGCATTAAACTCATGAAATACGTTGTTAGAACAATCGTCATGCTTTTTTGGTTTATTTGTTTCATTTGTCGTCTTTTGTTTTTTTATTTGTAGTTTAGTTTCCTCTCACTATTCCTTTCTTGTTTTTTGTTTTTCTTAATCTTTTGCTTCATTTGCTTTGATTATTTGTAGTGCGAGTTTTTTTCTCTTCATATTCTGTTTTGTATTTTGATTTTATTATCACATGTCAAAAGTTCGA